AATATGAGCTGTAAGATAAAAGCAACCAATAAATGTAACAAGACACTTTCTGCATATAATATTTCAGTACTAAGCAGCATGACTGTTTTGACAAGGAAGCCAGCTGCAAATTAGAAAAGCCCTATTTTTGCAAGAGATTTAAACAGTTGGTCTCCAAATTCAGTGAATGAGTACAAAAAAGATTATTTAAGGTCCCATTCCAAAAATTAAGCATGGGAAAAGTATATCAAGCCCATACAAAGATAAGCTAGAACTTTAAGACAAAAAAGGTACTAAATTTAAGACAGAATTCATAAACTTCAGTCTGAAGGTACACATTTATTTTTTTTATGAGGACAATTGGGATTTTAACTGGGGAGGTTTTGGTGGCAATGGACGTTCTATTCTGTGAAAAGGAAGTTTTTGTAAGGAAACATTTTTGAACTCTTCGTAATAACTGATAAAGTTCAAGGCCCATACAGTTAGAAAAAAAGAGGTTGAGTTGTACAGCGATTTATAAAAAAGTACAAGATACCAAAATACCCAGCAAACCATGCAGTCTGTAATCAGTTACTTGGCTCATGCAGAGTTTTGCCCTTGTACTGCTCATATACTGATAAAAAAAAAAGCTCTCTCTTTTGGCCTAAATTGATAGAGATACTTAAAATATTTTATCCCTGCTTGCCTAAAGTGCAACTCAAAGCATTTTAACTGTTTAGCTGTGAAAAGTTACCAGATCAGAGAGGTCATCTCCATGTGCACTTCTCTCCCAGCATTACTGTTTAGACCAAAGTTTCTCTTTTTCTATAAAGATGAACTGTAATTTCTCCTCCAGTACCTCTTCCCCAACACAGAGGCACTGTTTTATACAATGCAAACAAACCTCATCACAGGCCAGCACACTTCTGTTACAATTTATGTATGGTGGGGAAAGGATTCAAATTCTGTCCAGTGAAGAACTGAGGTAACTTTCATAGTAACTATGGTATCAGATCAAGGGCACAGGCAACTGCAATTCAATAGGCCTTTGACATGACTAGATGCCAGCCTATAAGAGGATCCCTACTTTCAACATCAGCAAAATAAGTAAACTATTGGACGCAACTCACATTGCACGAGATCCATTTCAGTTGTTTGTTGAATATAGTTTAGCCATAACACAGAAGCAAGCTGTGTAGCAGCTCCTAGCTCTTCAGGCAGTGCAATTATCAGCACTTAGCTTTCTCCCATGCACCACTCATGCACTAATACACATGCAGACAGAAGGTACCACAGAATCACAGAATATGCTGAGTTGGAAGGGACCCCCAAGGATAATCAAGTCCTACTCCTAGCCCTGCACAAGACATCCCTGAGAGTCACACCAGCAACTCTCCCTCTGACATCTGACAAAAAAAATTGCAAATCTGACTGGACAGAAAACTAAATAAATTAGAAGAGAAGATTAATATATTTCAGTTATGTTTCAGGAAGAAGCCTGCTAAACCTGCTAAGAATTTCATTTACACCTTACATCTTCCTCTTACACCTCCTTCCTAAGCCGTTCTGTTATGTGACACTGACAAAGAACATGTAAGACTGCTCTGAAGCAGGTCTGCACTCCCTTACCTTTGCCTTCTATATAGACAAGGCAACCCCTCTCTTCCCCTTGTTGTTGAGGTGAAGCAGTCAACAGAAACTACTGCTCCTTTCTGAGCACACACAAAAATTCCATTTGAGAAAGACCACACGAGTCCTCAGGCAGAGTTACCCATCTATGTAACAGGCATTGAGCCAAGACCCTCTCATAGGACACTCACCAGCCTAATTTTCCTACATTCACTTTGCTACTCCTAGGCAGCTTTCTCGCTGCTGAGCTTCCTGCTCAATCTGCCCTTTATGTGAAGCCTCCACTTAAACACGTTCACTGCAGCTGTTTGATTGCTCTTTTACCCACGTTAAATTGCTTCAGGATGCCTCTCCCTCGAATTTGTCATCATGAGACACTCATCATGCAAGACAGACTTGCTTCATCAAAATAACATGAAACCTTTAAGTGACTGTGAATACTCAAAAGCCTCTCTTCAGATAAACTGATTTTCTTTAAAGAAAAATTAATCCAATCCACCCATCTCAAGATCAGCATCCTTCAGAGCAGCATTCCTCCTCCCCCTCTCTCCTTCATTTTCCTCCTAGGCTTGGTAACAGAAAAGAACACCATGTGCCTGCTTTTCTAGTGCATCTGCATCTAGTCTATTCAAAAAATAAAATAATTTGTTTGTGTAGTGATATACACTTTGCTTCAGTACTTTTTAACACAAAAGTAATACAGCAGCTATAATAGAAAAATAACTCCTTCATGTCAACCCAGCTAAATATACTTTGAGCACTGATAAAACTGGGTTGGGAGACAGGCATTCATGTTTCAGCAGTCAATTGTCTACAGTCCTTCAGAAAGCATTTTTAAAGCATGAAAACAGTGATGAACACTTTCACAACACCCTAAGTTCCTCTAAAACTCTTTTTAATCACTACACAATACAAGGCCAGTATTAAAACTAGGAGGCACAGGATGGCTAATATTAAAGTTACGGTAGCAACAAACACATTTTAATGAATATGGCACAAGGAACAGGGGCCACACTGGCCTTCATCCACTTTCTCTATCTACACGCACACAGAGGCGTAGAACGAGAAACACACACCCAGGGGTAAGGCGGTGACCAAAGATAAGTGTTTACATGTATTTACGTAAGGCAAGTCTATAACGCTTGCTAGAATCATAGCTAGGAAATACACATATTGCACTAATGAATTATATGATAAACTGCTATTCACTACCTGGATCCAGGCTGTCAAGAGCTGCAACTGAGTTGCTGAAAACTGATTTGAAAAGACAAATTATATCACTCAAAAGTGAAAATTAGTCTAATTTGAATTCTATCCAAGCACTCACTGACACTGACCAGAACCCAGTGGGTTTCTGTCCAGAGCTAAAACGAAACACGACAGAGCATGCAAAACAGACTGGCACAAGATTTTCCTTAGCAGTATGGTATGCTAAGTTTACATTTAATTTGTCAAGCTAAATTCAATGAAAATAAAGTAACAATAATAAAAAAATTTCAACAGAAGCAGTATCTCAAGGGAGTACTTCAACACCAGGGTTCTTTTTTTTCTTTACTGAATAATTTAATTCCACATTATGCTTCATTCCTAAAAGGTAGGTCTATAAATCACATTAAGCAGAGCAAGTATCTCAGTGCTATTCCTAATAGTTAAAAAAAATAATCCTGAACTTCATTAAACTGCCACCTCAAAGATGTATCACAGGATGAAGTATGCTCCCCCTGTCAGTGGTGTAAAGGAAAAAATGCACTATTTTTCTAGTAGTGCACTTTAATTCTAGTGAGGAGAAACTCAAGAGGCAAAAAAAGAAGCCCCTTCACCCCCAACTCAGGGTCAAAAGGTCTGGCACAAATATCTTAAGGGTTTGTTCAAGTTTGCTCAAGTTAATGGGTGTTACATGGACTCCTCTGCAGTGGACAATCAATTACAGCAACAACTGTTGATCAGCACCATTTCACCACCAACAACCATTACTCCTAGAAAAGCTCCAGTTCCCCTACTGTTGGGCAAGGAGACAAAATTAGACATTTAATCCTTCTTGTTTACTGTAACAACTCTATGGCACATAATCTGATTTTTTTAAAACCATTTTAGAGTTAATATTTTATCACTGCAATGAAACCTCTGATATACAGGTTAAAAAAGGTACAGTAAAATATACAGAAAGTTGGAACACATACTCAATTTCTCATCTTCTTTTCCTGTTTCTAAATCAACTCAGATTTTTTTTTTTTTTACTTGATGGGATATTTGAAATCTTTCTGTCTTTTCTCTATTGTGATCAGCCACCATGTCCTCAATACTTCCCATAGACCACCAGACTGCACAGCAAACCACCAAAACACTCACAGCATCAGAATTACTAGCAGGCTTCAAAAGAAATTTATTTTGTATGGTTATACGACAGTACAAGTAAATTGACAATTATTTTTTTGCAAAACAGAACAAAAGATAATTTAACTGTAATATTTCTGTACAACCTACATATAACAGCTTCTGAATTCTTTGTTCCTCTGGTGCACAAGTGCCATATAACACTATATGGACTGTGTGATGTAATTTGTAAGCTATACAACTCCAGCCCAGATATAGAGAAAATTCATCAGGAAGTGTCTTGAACATTGAAATCCTTGCTAGCAAAATCACTTTAGATGCCCAGACAGCTATATCCAGGTTACAGCTTCTCACTCAAGGTAATGGGAGAGCCCAAATTTAAAAGAGCAGTGATACAGCTATTGACATACAATGAAGTTTATGTATATACTAAATTTGTACAGTGAATTATCTCATTGCTTATTTGATCTGCTACTAATTTCATTAGTGGTTGTAGTTATTTGCTTGATCACTACAATTTCATCTACAATAGTCCTTTTCACCCTTCAAAAAATCCCATTATTACAGTAGAAATTTAATATTTAATTACATCTTCCAAAAATGCATCTGTATTTTAACACTGTAAAAAGCAATTCAGAAATATATATATATACCTTCAATGAGCTGCTATTAATCAGATCACCTAAGTAAAATACTTGACAAAATATGCCCTATGAGTGAGGAGAAAGCAGCATCTAACATCATTTATTTCAATCAAATGTAGGGAAACACACTAGTATTACACTTAGCAGTATTTCCTATACACTGATTTAAGTCTAAAAGGTGACTGCCAGCCCTGGAGGATTAAGTAAGATCCATCACACTAACACTTAAAGCAAGCACTTAAGGCATCACTTTCTCCCAGATTTTCTTTTTTATTTTTTAACCCGTTATTGCAGTCTAGGAGAGACATATCTACGCAAAAGGCATGGGAAAATTCTGCCTAAGGTCTCACTTAAATTACTTCTCAAGTTTTTATCTCACGGACATGAAATAATAATTTACCAATCCAAGTTCGGAAACAAAACTGGAAAACTTACAGTTTAATGCATATCCAGCTTCAGAGTTAAATGTCAGAGGGCCTCTGGAACGTTCTCCTATGGAAGAGTTACAATTCCGGTAAGCGCACAGGGTCCCACGCACGCAGCAACTGACCGAAACCCGCACGCTCAGCCCAGCAGACAAGCGCCACATTTCAAACAACAGCTGTTAAGCGCTACCTCTCTAGATGCGCACCAGAGCCATTGCTGCTGCACCCCGGCCGGGAGGGCCTTCTCTCCTCCCGCGGGCTCCGCACGCCGCTCGGGGACGCGGATGGGAGGGACGGAGGCGTCGCGGCATCCCCGCCGCGGCACCGCGCCCTGTGCGGGCACAGCCGGCCCCGGGCCCGCGCCGCACCTGCCCTGCCCCCGCACGCTCGGGGGCGCAAGGCATTACGAAGAACCCAAAAAGTCCACCCCCCAAAACAAACCAAATCATCAAAAGAAACCCGACAAAACCCAGGGAGCCCAAACCCTCTTCTTTTTTTTTTTTTTTTAATCGCCCACCACAAAATTAGTTGGTCGCTCCTCTTTGTCCGAGCGTCAAGCGGGGGATCAGGGCTGAGCATCACCCGCCGCGCCCGCGGCACTGCCCGCTCCCGAGGCGGCACGGCCGGAGCCTCCCCCGCACCGCCCCGCCCAGCACCGGCCCTCGCTCGCAGCTGCCCGGCCGTGGGGCCGGCGGTGCGGGAAACACCGGCGGCGCAGCACCACCCCCGCCGCTCCCAGCGGGGCCCCGGGAAAGGGAGTGGCCGCAGCCCGGCCCGGCGGCAGGTACGGGGCAGGGTGTGCCGAGCGCGGGGACCGCGCAGCCCTGCCCCGCCACTCACCGCTGCCCACGGCGGCGCCCGCTCCTTTGTGTGCCCGCCGCGCCCCGGCACCTCCGTCTCCCGCCGCCGGGCGCCCCGCGCTGGGGGCGGAGGAGGACGCAGCCGAGATCCGCGGAGGAGGAGGACGCAGCCGAGATCCGCGGAGGAGGACGCAGCCGAGATCCGCGGAGGAGGAGGAGGAGGACGCAGCCGAGATCCGCGGAGGAGGCCGCTGCCGCCCGCCGGTCACATGCAGCGGGCGGGCGCGGCGCAGGCTCCCGGCGGCTCCCCGGGCGCCCGGCCGGCGGCGTCCGGGGCGAGCTCGGGGGTGAAGATGGCGACCTCGGCGGCGCGGGGAGGGAATCCCCGGGCCGGCCCGCTCCCCTCCGCGCTGCCGGCGGGGCTGGGCGCGCCGGGGAGGGGAGGGGACAAAGAGCGGCTGCCGCTGCCCGTCAGCGCTATCGCGGTGCCGCCCGCTCCTCCTCCGCCGCCTCCGCCAGTGCCGCAGCGCTCCCTGCCCGGCCCGCTCCCACCGCAGCGCTGACTGCTCTAGCCGGAATGTGCTGGCATCGCCGCGGCCTTAAGGAGTAGCGGAAAGCAGGTCACGAAAGCTGTCGTGCTTGCGGTCGGACAGGAAAATGAGAAGGGGTTCTTTCTTCTGACCCCCAGCTGTCGACAGCAGCAAGCCCGCTCTGCGTGTCGGTAAAATTTCAGCGTCCTACATCCCCCCTTCCCCCGGCAGCCGCTTCAGTTGCCGACAGAGAGGTGGCGAGTCAGGGGTGCTCCACACCTGTAGCTGGTTTGGTGGTTCAAAATAGGTATGGTCACAAGAGCTATCTCCGCTCCGTTTCAACAGATCATACGTTGTGTTTTAAAAGTAAAAAATAAGGGGAAAATGCTGAAGGTGGCAAGCATGACTCGAAATGGAAACACGATGAACATGCAATATCAGATATTCCTTGCTAGGTGCAGAAGTATGGCTGGAAGCTGTACCCCGTGTTGGTTCTTTACAGAGAGACTTAGGTTGCCATCTCTCCTGTGCACGACTTTTCCTGGTTTTGCACATCATCTGTGGTTCGGTGGCATGAGCTGAACGGAAAAATGTGCCAGATAATTTTTTTTTTTAATTGTCTACATGTTTATGGTTTATTATTTCTCCAGGCTGTGTTTTTACCATTTTGGATATTTTTCTGAGAGGGCTTTGTGCCCACCAGTATACTTATGTCTAATTTGCCCTCAGAAGGACATAGTGTGAGCAGTGCCTCCATCAGGCATGCCCTGACACTGATCTTCCATTCAAGAGCCAGTCACTGAAAACCACTTTCAGCTCAGGGCCCTGCAGATGGTGTTTTTGCTGTGTGTGTTTAGTAGAGGAACACCCTTGGAACACCCTTATTTAGAACCCTAGAATCATAAAGGTTGGAAGAGACCTCCAGGATTGCCAAGTACAACCATCAGCCCAGCACTAACATCGTAACCCTTGAAGCACTAACCAGCATCATCCAGCACTGAATCCAGATACCTCTTAAACACCTCCAGAGATAGTGACTCTACCATCTCCCAGGATAAACTATTCCAATGCCTGACATGCCCTAACAGTGAAAAAAAATTCTAATATCTAATCTGATTTTCCTGCCTCAGCTGAAAGCCATTTCCTCTGATTCTCTCACTGCAGTCACAGTAGAACAGACCAACCCCCACCTCACTACAGCCTCCTTTCAGGGAGTTGTGGAGAGCAATGAGGTCTCCCTTGAGCCTTCCCTTCTTGTGACTAAACAAACCCAGCTACCTCAGCAACTCCTCATAAGACATGTTCTCTAGACTTTCATGAGCCTTGTTGCCCTTTCCTCCAGCACCTCAACGTCCTTTTTAAAGTGAGTGCGTTAGAATCAGACTTGAGCTGCAGCCTCAGCAACCCCAAGTACAGGAGGATGATCACGCCCCTCGTCCTGCTGGCCACACTGTTCTTGGTTCAGGCCGAGATGCCAGTGGCCTTTTTGGCCACCTGGGCACACAGTGGCTCACACTGAGCCCGCCTGCAATGAGCACCCCCAAGCCCTTTTTTGCCAAGCATCTGTCTCCCCCAGCCTGTAGTGCTGCAGGGGTTTGCTGAGACCCAAATGCAGGACATGGCACTTGGCCTCATTTTATACCTGCAAAGAACAGCTGCAACTGTTATTTCTATTCTGCTGAAGATTATCGTTACTGTTCATGGATTTTACTTCACAAGAATCCTGTTATGTAGAGAAACTATTATTATCCCTGCTTTCAAGATGAGAAATAAGGAGACAGTATACCTTGCCTCAGGTCATATATATATAGTATGTGGTAAAACCAGAAATTTAATCCAGAATTTTGGTGCAGATCCAGTTAGTTTAAAACCACAAGTTCATTTTCTTTCCCAAGCTCTGTTTCTCAGGACTCCACTCATGAAAAATATTGTACGAAGGAGCAAAGCAATGTTGAAAAAGACATGCTAAAATAAATTTTGTTGAATTTGTGCAGAAAATAATGTGTACTTACATGGAAGTGTTGAGAATAAGCATATATCAGCAGGACTATCTGATTTCGTAAGCATATGAACCAATAAGTGGAACACCATGCAATGTGTTGTTTCAATATTGTACATTTGAGGTATGTGATGTAAGAACTTCCAGTTTTCATTGGTTACATTCCATGCAGGAGCAGGTGAATTGCAGAAACATCATGAAAATCTTTGGCCAAAACTGCTATCACAGTAATGATATCCTGAAAGACTGCCGACATTAGTAGTACCATTATATTCTAAAGAGTTGTGACATTTTCATCAAGCACTTTGATAACACACAGTTTGAGCTGTTCCCCACAGCAATTCCTCTCTAAGGAACAGAGGTATGTCAAGTGCATCCACATCTGTGTTAGGTGCTTCTGGTACCAGTTCAGAGTTTCAGGCCTCTCCACTGTCATGTGTCTCAGCAGACACAGACCCACACTGGTGTGCCCAAAGTGACATTTTTTGTGTAACCAGCAGTATAAACCTGTAAGGTGCCAGCCCCTTCAGGCCAGGTCTAGCAGCAGAGTCAGAATATTCACATGCCTTGTGAAAGCATATGCCAAGTGTCAGGCTTTTTCTGGCAGCAGTGGTATGTATTCAGGTGCCATTGTTGCTAACAAAGTACTAATCATGGTGTGTGTGAGAATGAACTGTGTACAGAGCCAGCCATGCTTGCAAGTGAATACAAGCCTTCAGAAGACTGAACTGTGTTGGACAAATGTGCTCTGGCCAATAGTTTTTGTTCTGCTTTATTATGGGTAGCTCCTCAGAAGTGCAGTCATGGTGCCTTTACAATTTACAATGTCTCTCTAGTGTCCTTCTGACTAAATGCTGACAATTCTCCTGATTTCTTTCTTCAGAGACAGTCTTGCCTGTATACTGACTACTTTTACTAATTCTCCCATATCCAAAGACAGGCAAGAACTTTATCTTTCAGAACCCTCTTCCTCTCCTGCTGTCCTCGGGGGCTCATGCCAAAACCTGAAAGAAATGGTCAGGCAGAAATAATTCAGCATTTATATGAACCTTTCATGGTAAATTACATTCTTCCTACTCTGTGGTCCAGAATGTTTACTAGTTAACATACCAAAAAAACAGATAGAAACATCTATCATTACTGGGATTTATAGTATCTGTGACAAAAGAAAAGATTGATTTTAAAAGGGGGAAATTAGCTTATAATTCCAAATTTTAAAATGCGTTGTCTGCTTTTTTGAATGAGCAATAAAATGCACACATTAATTGTAACTAAATAGCAGTGTGTGGGTATAACACTCATGACTGCAACAGGATTCCTCCATTCCTCATGTAGCCATATACATGTCAGTGAAGGTATGTAACTGTAATTAAAGGTCATAAAGACAGCTGCTCACTGAGCTGCATTAGCTGGCCATAGGTGCATTTCTCACCTGTGGCAACTGGCTACCCTCATAAGGAATTTTCATAAGGAAAAATTCATAAGGAACTTTTTCAGGGAAAGGATTGTTAAACATTGGAATATCCTGCTCGGGAAGGTAGTGGAGTCACCACTGGTGGAGATGTTCAGGGAGTGGCACTCAGTGCTATGGTCTAGTTGGCAAGGTGGTGATCAGTCAAAGGCTGCACTCAGTGATGCTGGAGGTCTTTTCCAAACTAAATGATTGCTGATTCTGTGATTCATGATGGCAGCCTAGGCAAACTCACATTGTTTTGCAGCTGCCAGAGGCGAGTGACCAGAAGTGTGGTCTGTTCATGTAGCTCAAGAGGTAATGTGTTATGCTCTGATTGTTTGGTCGGTTGCAAGGGTCTCTTTGTGGCCAGTGCAGAAAGAGACTCCAATCACAGCTGCCAGTTTTAAGCTCAGCCCAATAAATGAACGTGGTAGGGCTGGAGCAGAAAAGCTAACTCCTTGCTTGTCTTCTTTTAGGGTAAAAGAGGAAGCTGCTGAGGATATTCACTTCCCACTGATTCCTTCAATTAGTTCTTCTCTATGAACAAGCCAGGGTAAAGAAAAAACTTGTGATTTTTTTTCCAGAAGAGGCAGAAGTTTCATCTGGAAGCTCCAACAAACTCTCTTAATCTGTATGTGTTTTGCATCCAAGTCCCTGTATGTGGCTTGATAACTACCCATGTGGAAGCTGATGCACCATGTGTGCTCCCTTAAGGCTTTATAGCTAGTATATGTACATTTCTGAATTAGATCCAGACAACTGAAACACAAGCTGAGGTTCTCTTTCACCAAGTAGTGTGAGGCAAATTTACCACTCAAAAAAATTGTGGGGAGAAAGGAAAAGAATGTGTGTCTTCTCGACTCAGTAACTTCTCACTCAACATGTAAAGACCTGAACTTGGCAAAGTGGCTCAAAGCTTTTCTGCATAATAAAATGAAGATTTTTAAACAAAAGAAATTCACCAAATGGAAATCCAATGGGATTTTCTCAGATAATAGTACAGTTTCTATCAGAAAGGAGCTTTGCTAAGTAGCTGCAGTGATACAGTTGCTTCATTGTGAGCCTGCAATGAAATATGTGCATACCTTCATTCATTGTCCTTTTTTTTCTGACAGAAGTGAAACTCCAAGAACAATAGCATTTTTTACACTTGCAAGAACCCTGATGGTAATTAGGTTTCTAATATAGTTTCTGTAATTTCTTTCAGTTTTTATTCTGGCTTTGGAAATTCTTAATTATTTAGCATGCATCTTTGTTTCCTCTCTT